CAGCTTCTGTTTAGCTCTTTACAGCTTCATTCAACCTTTTACAGCTTTGTTTAGCTCTTTACAGCTTCATTCAGCCTTTTACAGCTTTGTTTAGCTGGCTTGTTCAGCTTCTTGATTGGTGAGAATCATCAGTCCTGCTTCTTACTGTTTAAGAAATGGTTTAATTTACATCTGTTTTTGTTGCTGTGCTATTTTTTTCCCCTCATTTCAGCATTTTATTTAGTTTTTCAGCTTCTTCTGTTCTCATTTTAGCTGTTTTTGGCTCATTTCAGCTTCTTTCTGCTAATTTGAGCTTTTTGATAAAAAAAAAATAATAATAATTTTTGTGATCTGTTGTGGTTCTTTCTACAACTCATACATTTTTAGATGATATAGGCTAAAAATTGTTGTGGTAGTAGCCGAAAGTGATCGACAACACATATTGAAGGCTGAATAAAATTCAATATGGCCGCCAAAGATAACCCATACTGTCCAGCAGTCCGTGGACAAATGTTGGTCTAAGCTCTAACTCTGCAGCGGTGTAACATAGGAATGTTGACATTTACAGCTGAACAACTTGTGGGTCCACAATGATGCAGATCGATTCTAGGGTCATGGGGTCAAAGGTCACCCCTTTATATTGTTATAATTTAATAACCATTTAACATAAAAATGTCAAACTTCTCAGCTGGACACCTCGTGGGTCAGCAATGCTCTCTGTTGATTTTATGGTTAATTTGAACTGATAAACTGGATTAATCACAGTTTCAGTACTTCTTGAGCTAAGCTAGCCTTTTCTTTATTTCTTCATAGTATTTAGCCACTGCTGGTTCTAAGTTATTTTTTTCCTATTTGCTAATATTTTCCTACATCTGGTTCTTAACTAGCAGGTTTGTTTGTTTTTGCATTTAATTAGCCTATTTTTTACTTGTGCCTTTATTCACACTGCACTAGCTTGTTTTTGTTTGTTTGTTTGTTTTTGTTGTTGTTTTTTGCTAATTACTACTTTTAAGCATGTTTTAGCATTTCTAACCTAATTTTGACCTTTGTCTGAATTTTTATTTTTTGCTTTTTGTGGTTCTTGCAGCTTCATCTTGCAAATGTTTAGCTATTTCAAGTAAACTGTAGCTTTTTAAGCAGCTTTCGGTAAAATCAGCAATAAGCATTCAGGCTGCATTTTCTCAGGATATGCAGTTTCTCTCGTTCTGCTTGGATTTCTGTCTGTCTGACTGGAAATGAACGCCTGGTGTTGGACAGCTCGCTGCATGTGGGAGGAGGCCTGTAGAAACTTTAGTTTCGCTAAAACTTGGGGAATTTTGTGAGAATGTTTCACACAATCTGCTTCCTGAAACACCGCTCTGACGGCTTCCTGAGGGTAAGCGTGAACTGCTTTGTTGTTGTTGCTGACAGTAATATTAATGTTTGTCCATGCAGACGAGGAGAAAATTCTGACGAGCGGTCCAGATGGAGCGCTGCCTTCAGACGGCATGCAGGCCTCGTCCCAGGATGACCCACTGTAAGGAAACAAAGCCACCGTCAGAACAGAATCAAGCTGAAGAATTATATGAAAGGTTGTGCCTGATCAAAATTAATGCTGCACCTCTTTTAAATGCACTGCTGTCTGACAGCTAAATAATATTTCATACATAGCCTGGTTGTGTGTCATTAGTGATCTGTTCTGGGACAAAAATAAATAAATAAATCTTACCGGGACGGTGGGACCTGTACAATCTGTACGGTGCTCCGGTACTCAGAGCGCTGGAGTGGTGCGCCCAGAATCTTCCTACCTCTTGTAATGAAGGGGAGCTACTGCGCATGTCAAACTTTTAACGAGAGTCTATGGGCTAAGATTCTTGCGCACCCAGGGGCCAGAAATACATCACCAACCAGAGACAACATTTTTGAAAGAATCAGCTAATCATTAACTATAAAATATTTATCTTACACAACTAAAACAATATATACATAGATTTCAAAATACTTTTTATTTTATTATTTCATTTTTGTTTAATTTTTTAAATCTTCAATGTAATATGGTGGTGAGTGGTTTTCAGTGGTGGGGCGGCACCCTAGCACCCCACCAATGACGAGCCGCTGCTGTGCCTGCATCAACATTCCGCTTAAGCCTTTTCTTTGTGCCTTCTATTCAGTTCCTGCTGTGATTTATTTGAACACCTGTCTTTATTTTATTTAAATTGTGTGGCTTAGGGATTTGAATAATGAATGTTTGTAGTTTTGGAGATGAGTGTTTTTTTTCTGGACTTCATGTTGATGTGGCAACTCAGTTATCGATAGGAACCTTGCTTAGATATAGCCACACACCAAAATGGTCATCAGTACCTCGATTATTTTTCAAGTTATTCTGGTTACAATGTGCACAGACCAACAGAGTTTTTCTGATTTCCCCCTCTTCGCTCCACGACGGGGACAATAATTGTTTTATTGATGGTGGAGTGATGGAGTAAAGTTCCCAACCTCATTTAACCTTTAGTGCACATTTTCAACATAATTTTCTTTTAGTTGCTATGTTTTATTCTCATTTGTGCTCAAATGCCTCCATAAATAAATTGGAGCATAAGAGTTTCCACTCGATTTGATTCCTTCTGCATTTCAGGGTCACAGAGTCTGTCATGGTGAGTGACAGCGCTGCAGACGAGGTCAGAGTTTTATCATTAAATCATACAGTATTTGTTTTAGCTTCTGCTCAGCGTGGATGCCGCCTCTGCTTTGTGCAGGAGGATCTGATGTTGTGCTTCTCTGATCCCTCACAGGTCGTGGATCAACTGCCCAAGCTGATGGAGCAGATCCTGTTTCTGACGGAAAACTCCTCTCACGTGGATAAAACGCTGGATCAGATCACCGAGCTGGCCATACGTGAAATGTGAGAACTTCATTTGTCTGTTAAACATTCAAAAGGATACAGAGAACAAACTCATTTAAACTTCGATCTGTGTGAAGGGAAAAGGAAAAGGAGGAACTGATTCTGCAAGAAAAGTTATTGAGGGACAGAAATGCGAAAGAGAAAAAGAGAGGTGCCATGTTCAAAAACAGTGTTCTCGTCTTTAACTCCTTAGAAACAAATGAAATGGTAAGACAAACAACGTCCATGTCCCCCGTCTCTGACGGATGAGAATAGCAAATGTTGGCAGTTTTTGGGATGAGTGTTCTTCTCTAAAATTCAACAGTTGCAGGAAGACCCTTGAGATAAGAGCTCATCCCTACAGAGCAGATATTAATGTGGGCAGATGATAATCTCTCTCAACATTACAGGACAATCTATTGGCCGATTACGGTCAGAAGGTGACAGAGGTGAATTCCTGCTGCGTGGAGGGAGACTCGTCCCACCTCAGCCCCTTGGAGAAGATGTGTGACATTGAGCACCACCTGTCCATGATAATACAGGAACTTGATGAAATGCCTAAATATCTTTTCCAGCAATTGAAGCAACTCCTGAACATCTTGAAGAACATCAGGTTTGTGTCACTGACTGCAGACCAGCTCATGCAGACCACTGTTATTGTGAGTGAACAGGTTGTGTCTGCAGTCGACAGGCTGCTGGTTTTACCCCTGAGAGGACAGTTTGGAAAAAAAAAAAAGAATATTTTAGTTTTTTACAGCTTTCTTTTTTCTGTTCCAGTCTGCAAAAGAAAATACTCCAGCAGGAGAAGGAGAAAGAGGCAGAGAGAAAGGAAAAGTGCATGAAACGAGCAATGGGAGAGAGCAAGAAAACAGTGAGTTTTATTGCGCTGTGTGCCTTGCGAAAGTATTCGGCCCCCTTGAACTTTTCAACCTTTTGCCACATTTCAGGCTTTAAACATAAAGATATAAAATTAAAATGTTTTGTGAAGAATCAACAACAAGTGGGACACAATCGTGGAGTGGAATGAAATTTATTGGATGTGTCAAACTTTTTTAACAAATAAAAACTGAAAAGTGGGGCGTGCAATATTATTCGGCCCCCTTGCGTTAATACTTTGTAGCGCCGCCTTTTGCTGCAGTTCCAGCTGCAAGTCTCTTGGGGTTTGTCTCTGTCAGTTTTGAACATGGAGACACTGAAATTCTGCCTATACTTTCTTGCAAAACAGCTCGAGCTCAGTGAGGTTGGATGGAGAGCGTTTGTGAACAGCAGTCTTCAGCTCTTTCCACAGATTCTCGATTGGATTCAGGTCTGGACTTTGACTTGGCCATTCCAACACCTGGATACGTTTATTTGTGAACCATTCCATTGTAGATTTGACTTTATGTTTTGGATCATTGTCTTGTTGGAAGATAAATCTCCGTCCCAGTCTCAGGTCTCTTGCAGACTCAAACAGATTTTCTTCCAGAATGGTCCTGTATTTGGCCCCATCCATCTTCCCATCAATTCTGACCATCTTACCTGCTGACGAAAAGCAGGCCCAAACCATGATGCTGCCACCACCATGTTTGACAGTGGGGATGGTGTGTTCAGGGTGATGAGCTGTGTTGCTTTTACAACAAACATATCGTTTTGCATTGTGGCCAAACAGTTGGATTTTGGTTTCATGTGACCAGAGCACCTTCTTCCACATGTTTGGTGTCTCCCAGGTGACAAACTTTAAACAACACTTTTTATGGATATCTTTGAGAAATGGCTTTCTTCTTGCCACTCTTCCATAAAGGCCAGATTTGTGCAGTGTACGACTGATTGTTGTCCTATGGACAGACTCTCCCACATCAGCTGTAGATCTCTGCAGTTCATCCAGAGTGATCATGGACCTCTTGGCTGCATCTCTGATCAGTCTTCTCCTTGTTCCAGATGAAAGTTTAGAGGGACGGCCGGGTCTTGGTAGATTTGCAGTGGTCTGATACTCCTTCCATTTCAATATGATTGCTTGCACAGTGCTCCTTGGGATGCTTAAAGCTTGGGAAATCTTTTTGTATCCAAATCCAGCTTTAAACTTTTCCACAACAGTATCTCGGACCTACCTGATGCGTTCCTTGGTCTTCATGATGCTCTCTGCGCTTTGAACAGAACCCTGAGACTATCACAGAGCAGGTGCATTTATACGGAGACGTGATTACACACAGGTGGATTCTGTTTATCACCATCAGTCATTTGGGACAACATTGGATCATTCATAGATCCTCACTGAACTTCTGGAGTGAGTTTGCTGCACTGAAAGTAAAGGGGCCAAATATTATTGCACGCCCCACTTTTCAGTTTATTTGTTAAAAATGTTTGACAAATCCAATAAATTTCATTCCACTCCACGACTGTGTCCCACTTGTTGTTGATTCTTCACAAAAAATTAAAATTTTATAGCTTTATGTTTGAAGCCTGAAATGTGGCAAAAGGTTGAAAAGTTCAAGGGGGCCGAATACTTTTGCAAGGCACTGTACACATATATATATATATATATATATATATATATATATATACATATATATATACTTTTTTAAATATACAATGGTCCCTCGTTTATCGCTGGTGTTTGGGCCCATGCCCACCTGCGATAAGTGAAAACTGCGAAGTAGGGATACAGTAGTCCAAGTTCAAGTTCAGTTCAAGTTCAGTAAACTTTGTCATGACATGTGCCAGGCTGCAATCACACTCAATCACATGTTACTCCCAATCTCCCTCCTTAAATTAACAATTTAAAATTAAATACTGTAATATAAAAAAAAAATTCATACAGCACAGATTTTTTTTTTAATGTTACAGTATTTAAATTTAAATTGTAGAGAAGAGAAGTGCAGCAGGACATTAAAGGGATGTCACACAGCTTCAGCTCTGCAGCACAAAACATAAATGCACTTCTTGATCAATTACACTTCAACAACTGAACATAGAATTTCTAAAATAATTAAAACAACTTTTAACACTTTTATATTTTGTGATTATGATGATTTTTACGATGTGACATACTTTGAATTTTAAGTTGGAAGATAAAAGTCTATCGGTGCATCTGGACAGCAAAGGGTTAACCCTTCACAAAGCCGCAGCAGGAGAAATGTGTGTGCGTGGCAGAGAAGGTGATCATGACAAGCTGCAGGAGGGAGCTTTCCCTTGCACTTGTAGGCTGCACACATGGTGCAGAATCATTAAAATAATTTATGTGAATTAAACAACCCATGACTCATCCACCAATCAGCCAATTGTGTCTTGTTCAATCTCACTTTGAAAACCCACCATATATATATATATATATATATATATATATGTGTGTGTGTGTGTGTGTGTGTGTGTGTGTGTGTGTATGCACTGACTTGTATATATACTGATATACTGTTTTGTTTTTCAGCTTGGAAAAAAGCTTGGTCCAAGAACCATGGTCAGGAAGCAAACCAAGGAGATCCCTAAACCCAACGAACCTGAAGAGAAAGACCCACTTGCTGATCTCCTCACTGACGACTTCAACTAAAGATTAAAGATTTAAAGCTGGCGTCTGATGAAAACTGTCCGGAAGAATCTGGTCAAATCTCACATCTGTTTCATATTTTGTGTTTCTGCTATTAAAATAACATTTTACATTTCTGCTGATGAGCACCTGCTGACTGTAACTACTAGTCAGAATGTGTGTGTGCTGGAAAGCTATTCATTCATTCATTCATTCATTCATTCATTCATTCATTCAGTCAGTCAGTCAGTCAGTCAGTCAGTCAGTCAGTCAATAATTCATTCATTCATTTAGTCAGTCAGTCATTTTTTTCAGTCAGAAAACCACAAAGTAATGGTAATCTTACCTTCGATCAAATGTTTGCTACAAAGACGAGCGTACTCTCTTGGGTGTCAACATTTCCTGGTCTTTCACCGTCACACGACAGCATCACGCCTGATCATCGTTTTACTTCAATTTATTTACAGATTTTTATCCCAAAAGTTCCTAAATAAATGAGACAATAATTTTAAAAACATTAAAATTAGAATAATGGCGTTGTATCATCTGAAACGTTCAAAAGGATAATAAAATTGTTTAAATGTGAAGTTAAACAGTCCTAAAAGAGTACGATTTAATCTAATTCTGTTTATTTATGTAACATTTATTCACAGTAATGTTGTCTGAGGGCACTAAATAAAAACACTCACAACAAATGTTGGTTACTTTCCAATGAATGGAAACATGAATACTGTCTGGACCGAGCGTATAAATCTCTCAATATAAATATAAAATAAGTATCAGTAATGTCATAAAGTAAATATCTCAGGAGGTTCTGATAAAATGAACAAAGTCAAAGTGAAATACATGATTCAACAGTGAAAGCAGAAAAACGAACCTTCTCCACACCAACAAGTAAACAACGTAAACAACGCAGCAACTCAGTCCGTTTTTATTTCCCAGATGATCTGAGCGATCAATTATTTCTAGGATAACTGCTAATAACTAACTTTTTAGACTTTAGACATGCATAAACAAACCTTAAATCATTTCTACGAGGAACAAAAATCCAAACTGAGCTCGTTTTGTTTGTTTGTGTTGTTTTATAAGCAGATGTGGTCAGTCATCCTTTTTCAGTGGGTATTTTAATATTTTATGCTGAATAAATGTGAAGTAATTACTCTGACGTTACTGAAAGGACTTCAAAAAAATATATAAATACAATAATTTTTAATAGTAGACTGTTGTCATTCTGGGTTTGAGCCACTAGAGAACAGCAGCAACCTTCTTTGATTAGGACGCAGCGTGTTTATTATTATTATCTCAATAAAGTATTTATCCTGACATATGACTGTGAACTCACTTTACAAGTCCTTCTGACCTATTTTGCATGTGACGATATTTTATTTCATGCTGTAAAATGAACAGACATGAAATTATTTCAAATAAAATGTGTCGTTTTTCTAGTTCTGTATAGAAATGCTAGAGAAATGTTGAAATATGCAAATATTTAGGCTCATATTAGATGTTTGGCTTCATGTGTAAGAATAGTTGTTTTGTTCTCACATCCTTTATGAGAACATTGGGTTGAAATATTCATTAAGAATCAGGAAGTAATAATAGAAAAGAGCAAGATTCTAAATTGAAAATATTAAAATCTACTGAAGGTGTGCGTGTGTGTGTGTGTGTGTGTGTGTGTGGGGGGGGGGTAACCTGCACACAGATGACAGAACCCCAACCTGAACAACAGCAGAGACAGAAATCCTCCTACAGATTTCAAAATAAAAGCCTAGTTTTGATCTCTGACCCCACATAAGACAGAGATCAGACCCAGATCCAGTCCCGGAGACATCTGACTGTCCAGAAGTCCCTCTGTCCTGGCCCTGCAGGACTCTTTGGGTCTTTTAATGTTGCTAACAACGCCCTTGAATCTGTTCATGAACTTCCACGGCTCCGAATTTGCTTTTTAACTCTACAAACCTCCAGCTGATGCTTTAGTGCAACATCTTTATTTACTAGAAGTTTATATCACAAATTAAATTAAACTAAACGAGTTCTTTCTGAGTGACAGAAAGTGTGTGACATTTGTGAAATTCTTCAGCCTGAGTATTTCTGTCTGAAGGGCAGAGAAGCTGCAGAGATTGATGTGAGGAGAACTTGATCCTGAACCGGACAGAGGGGGAACTTCTCACATTTCACACTTTGGGACTGCGTTCCCACATGAGTGTGTCTCTCTGCAGGCTCCTGTCAGCACTTGAACACATTTCTCAACTCCTCTGGAGGCCACTGAGGACATTGTTTCGATGGTTTTCCTTCTGATCAGGTCTTCAAACTGTATCTCCACTGGCCTCTCCTCTACACAGCCGTCCATCATTCTTTGTGTTCTCCGGTTATTTCAGGGTTCTTGCTGAGCTCCACCTCGCTGTTGGTCAGTCACTAATCAGGGGGAAGGACTGTGTTATCTGCTGAATGACGAGCTCCAGTCTGGGACTTGTCCTTGTCAGGAGGATGGTCTTGATTTGACAGCAGACCTGGACTTGGACCCTGCAGAGGTGTGTGAGCCACATAGCTCCTCTCTGGAGATGACCAGAGGCGTTTAAATGACCGCCTCGTGTTTCACTGCTTCATGCACTGAGCTATTTGTCTTTCTGTAAACCCACCGAGGGACAGAGTGAGCCAGCAGCTCTCAGCAGGTTGTCCAAGCTAAAAGAGCAAAGATCCGAATGATCTCTCATCCATCGCCTGGTTCTGGACTCAGGTCTCGGGGCAGCAGCTTGATCAGGGAGGTCCAGCCACCTCTTCCAGCTCTTCTGGGAGGATGCCAATGCATTCCCAGACCAGCTGAGACATAGTCTCTCTCAGGTGTTCTGGGTCTTCTCCAGGGTCTCCTCCCAGTTGGACATGTCCAGAACCTCCCTAAGGAGGTGTCCAGGGTCCATCCTTACCAGATGTCTGAACCTCCTCGGCTGTCTCCTCTGGATGTGGAAGAGCAGCGGTTCTACTCCGAATCTCTCCTGGAGAACTGAACTTCTCACGAGTCCCTTCAGAAAGAACTCTTTTAGACCTCCTGGATCCAGGACAAAAATACTTGAGGCCGAACTTCAGTCCTGACCTGGTGAGGACAGTCCATCCTTTTCTGACTGAAGACCATGGACTCAGATTTGGAGGTTTATATGTTCAAATGGCATTTCTTAAAATGAAAATTGAAAATTGAAAAAAAAAAGCATTTGTTTATTGCTATTCATTTATTGTGACGTCTCTCTCCGTGTTTTCCTGCACTGCTTCATGTGTTTTGCTTTGATTTATTAAATGTTCTCCTCAGCTTAAGTCCTCGTGTTCTTATTGTTCTTGTTCTCCAGTTCTTGTTCTTATTGTTCGGATCATTATGACTGCTGCAGCGCGTCTGCGTGCTTTTATTCTGAAAGTGCGAGCTCTGCCTCCCGTGTGTGTGTGCGCGTGTGTGAGCGCGCGCGCCTCAGCCCTCAGTGAGTGGTAGCAGCTGTGAAAACGCGTGTGTGGACAACAGTTAAAGCATGGCTCTGCTGCAGCCTCGGACTCACAGGAGGTTTCAGGAGGTTTCAGGAGGGCTGGATGAAGATGAAGCGATGCAAACATGATGAAGGTCAGTTTGTTTTATCCTCCTAATGAAGTTGACAGTGATCAGAGGGCAGGAACGAGCACATCGATTCTCCAACCTGCACGTTCAGTTTGTTCAGTGGGACTGGTCTGATTGTGTTGGATGTTTTCTTGCTGATTGATTGACAGCTGTCAGCCACTCAGCTGTGTTCTGTTCAGCTGCTTTACATGTTAAAACCAACAAACAGCAGAGCAAAGCGGCCAACACTGCCGGATTAGTTCTAATTTAATCATCATATAAACCAAATCGATCATACATCATATAAAAGATTCTGGGGTTTTTTTTGTTTGTTATTCAGTTTGTGCTCCAAGGAATCTAAAAAGCTTTTCTTTGTGTTAAATTTGTGACTTTAGATTTCACATAAAGTCGTTGTAAACCCTAAAGCTGTTGGTTCAAATGAAACTATAGTTTGATTTCGTGTAAAAAATCTAAGCTGAGCCAGAGTTTTAAAATGAAACAGAACCAGGTGCGGTTCTAGATCTGACTCTCAGGGGGTTCAGCCCCGATATGGGGGCACGGGTGGATGATTTAGTCCCGTAATGAAAGAAACAGTTAAAAAAATATAACCGTCTTAATTGCGATGGAGCTTTAGGGCCATGCTAAAAAAAAAAAAAAAACTAAAAGCCATAAAATTACGAGAATAAAGTTGTATATTACGAGAATAATGTCGTACGAGACTTTTTTTTTTTTACAGCTCTCGTTTATTATTATTTATTTTTCCATAAGTCAGATCCACAACACGACCTGTCAATCAATCCAGTAGGCGTGTCAGCAAATGTCCAATCCAAAGCTAAATGCTCCTTACCTGCAGAGCTGCGCTGCAGCCCATCAGAGCGTACCACCTTGCTGTAAGCAGGTTCAAAGTCCTGATACTGATAATAATCTGATGCTGATCTGCTAACAGATTAACTATCTCCTTATTTGTAAAATCAGTACCAAAGTATAACTTAACAAGATGCTCAACATTCTTAATTTTACTACAGTTAAAATGCGGTAAATCTGCTTTATCGTGTCGGAGTTTGGATAATATTACGACTCGTTTAGCTTCGGATTGATTATTTGCTGACATGCCTACTGGATTGACAGGCCGCGTTGTGGATCCGACTCGTGGGGGGAAAAAAAAGAAGAGCTGTAAAAAAAAAAAAATTAAAAGTCCCGTACGACTTTATTTTCGTTATTTTATGACTTTTAATTTTTTTTTTCTTAACGTGGCCCTAAAGCTTCTTTGTAATTAATAAATGATAGATATATTTTAATCTTTTGACGCTGCAGCTGTCTGATCACTACATACCTTTTGAACTCCGTAAATTAAAACATTTGTTATTAATCTTACAGTTTTTAGTGACACTTCTTTACAGAGCCCTCCCAAACAGGAAAACCTTGTCACTTTCTTCAAAATAAAAACCTG